TTTTCTTATTTTGTTTTGATGATAACAATGTTAATTTGCACATTTGACTTGAAATGATATATGATATTCTCTTACATTTTGTAGTTTATGTGTAAAAAATAATACTGGCAGACTAATAGATTTATTATAATGATATGATACATGCCAGTGAAAATGATACATGAAAAAAAATGATACAGGGGGCCAATGAAATTGATAAATATAGGAAAAAAGCTTCATATTAAACCCCTCAATTTTTTATCTAAAACTGAGGTAAATGAATACCTTATTACCTCAAAATAAAAACAAAATCGATAGCTATATGAAGCGCGCAACAAAATGTAGAAAATAAAAATATGCAGTTCCTAGGGATCGAATCCATGACCTTCTCAATATTAACCCCGGTTTTTAAAACACCGAGGTGTTAAGTGGAGACTTTTCATGACGACCTTAGTAACCTCGCTTGGGTTGCTGAGGTAAAATGAATTTTGTGACCAACTATACAAACGTTATTTATAGTAGTACACATCATAGGTGTGAGGTATTCAAAGGAACTTAGAAACTCCAAAATTCTAGTTTAGTGTAAGTAGGATCACATAATGTATAAAAATAAGATAATCCTAATCTATCAAGCATGAAACGTACACTATTATGTAACCCCAAACTACATAAGTAAGTTTCTTTGACATACCTCATCGAACAAATTGTTCGGTTGAACAACATGATATACCGTTTTCTCTGACACTTACTGTCAACACCATCTCTGAATACAATGTCCTTGAAGTCCATGGGTGGCCTTTCTACTGGTTGTCTTTCCACTCTTGGATGCATAATGTGAAACTGGGGGATTTTGGAGAAATTGATGTGTAATGTGAGTAAAAATGTGGAGAAAGAGATGTGAGAATGGGTTTTATAAATGAAGGTGAAATGGTGAAATTAAAAGTAGGAAATTGTGGGGATAGGATTGAGGTGTTTTAGGTTTTCGTGATTCTAGTTGATTCTATTTCTTTCCTCACTTGGTTGTGGCTCATTCCACATTTCCCTTTACATCTTCCAATTACATAATTGTTTGTTATAATGCTAAGTCAGTTTCATGTTATGTGACATATGGTGTAAATAACAAGAGATATAGTCTTCTTTAAATATTTTGACTAGGTCATGCCAACTATTATGCTATTCAACAGCCTCTAAAACATTGTAATATTTCTTTTTCGATTAGGCCTTTTTTGACAAATTCGTGCAACTCTTGTTGTATTGGAAAATCTCATCGATTATACTCCACTGCATCGATAACATTGTATCATTCTCCTTTTGAATTAGTGCACACGGATCTTTGAGGTCCTTCCCCCTTCCATTCGACTTCTAGTGTTCTTTACTATGTTGCTTTTGTCGATGCTTATTCCAAGTACGCTTAAATCTATTTTCTTATTAACAAGTCAGAAACAATTCATGCCTTCAAATTATTTCACAAGTTTGTTTAAACTCAGTTTCATACTGAAAGTGTGAAAAACACAAGAAATAGGGGTTTGAATTGAGTTTTAAATCAAAACTTTTCTTTTAAAAATATTCCTCTTTAACTAAAATACTTTTTCCTTCACTCTTGATAATAACAATAATTAAGAATAGAAAGTAAAGAAAAAGGTATGTTTATACTAATTCATTTGAAAACTATCAAGCTAGTCTAGTCTACCCGCCAAGGTGATTTCTCCTCTCTCAATCGAGGACTAAATCCAATAATCCAACTGATTATTACAATGCACAAGCTACTCGCAAGTGACTAACAACCTCAAAGACACACAAGTCCTAGACTTCTTAAGGATACATACCTAACCGTCCCTTAAGGAAAATCAAACTTCTCAGACACACTAGTCCTAGACTTCTTAAGGATACAGACCTAACCGGTCCCTTAAGGAAATCAAACAACTGTCTAAATACAAGTTTTATTTAAATAGTATTTCTTCTTCACAAGCTGAATAAGTAAACTATTTTAAGAACAATAGACTAAAAATATGAAAGCTATGAACAACGCTTGTGCGTGGATATTCAGTGAAAATTTTCCGTTTTCTCTCTTAGTCTTCAAGCCTTTATATAGTCAATAATATATCCATTTAGGGGTACTCTTTGGATTTCCAGAAACATTGGCAGCTTGAGCAATCACGTGGAGGACAAGATTGTGCAACGCGTCCGTTCTTTCATGGTAGTGGAATGAAACGTTGATTGTACCATGTACTATTTGTACAACGTTAACGTTATCTTTTTTCCTTCTGCACTTCAGAGGCTTCTACAAGCATGAGTTTTGAAGCGAGACCATAACACAAGGCCATCTGATCAAAACTGGCACACCGAGTTCAATCCTTTTCCTTCAATTTCAAATCTAATTGTTCCTTTACTCCTAAGTATAACCCAGGAGTTAACTCATTGTCCTTCAATTTCAACTTCTAATAACCCTTCAGTTTTGACTTTGAGTGATCCTTTAGTCCCCAGTACCACTCACGAGTCAGCTCAGTGTCCTTCACTTTCGACTTCTACTAAGTCATTAATTTCGACTCCTCCATCGGGTTCTACCATGAGTTCCTTGACTGAGTTAGAGTCCCCTATTTTAATAGTTACTTTTTCATCCCATGTTGACTCGTGCTAATACAGGTCACTGTAAGCCTAAGGCTCTTCTTTTCCATGTTGAACCTTCGACAGTCAAAAAAGCTTTCTCCAATCCACATTGGCTCGAAGCCATGAGACTTGAGAATGAAGCTTTGATAATGAATCAGACCTAGACATTAACCACTCTTCCACCAAATTTAAAACCTTTTCTATGCAAGTGTACTTTCAAGGTTAAAGAGAATCCTGATGGTTCACTTAACAAGTACAAAGCTCGATTGGTTGCTAAGGGGTTTCATCAACAGTTTGAATTTGATTTCAATGAGACTTTTTCTCCCATTGTTAAACCAGTAACAATTCCTGCTATTCTCACATTAGCTCTTACACACAAGTGAGAGCTTTAACAAATTGATATTATCAATGCCTTTACAGGGTTCAACCTCCCATTTTTGAGCAGCACGATCCTTCTCTAGTTTGTAAATTACAAAAGAAGCTTTATGGGCTCAAACAAACACGTCGTGCTTAGTATGAGAAGCTAACTCATGCCTTGGTTCAGTTTGGTTTCAGACATAACAAATGCAATCACTCTCTTTTCATATATTCTCATAAAGGTATTAGTCTTTATGCCTTAGTATACGTGGATGGAATTCTGATCACAAGATCTTCCTCTGTGCTTATTGACAAGCTCATCGACTCCATGTGTGCTATGTTTGTTCTCAAAAAGGCAGACTCTCCTGAGTATTTTTTAGGCATTGAGGTCAAGTGTTTAGCTTCATGAAATCTTCTACTCACTCAGTCTAATTATATTTGTGATCTTCTTGCTAAAGTTAATATGAGCAATGCCAATGATGTCACCACTGCCATGCTTAGCATGTGAAAACTCAGTAAACATGGATCTCATTCTCTTCATGATCCTTTCATGTATCGCTCCATGGTTGGTGTACTTCTATGTCACTCTTACTCGCCCTAATATTTCTTTCAGTGTAAATAAATCATGTCATTTCATGGCGTCCCCTCTTGACTCTCATTGAGCAGTTGATAAACGCATCCCGCGTTATCTTAATGGCACTCTTGATCATGGCTTTCTCATTTCTCCGACACTACCCTTGTGTAAGTTTTCACTTTGTGCCTATAGTGACTCTGATTGGGCCTGTGATCCCAATGATAGATGCTCCGCATTTGGCTCGTGTATTTATCTTGGTCCGATTATAGTTTCATGGAGCTCAAAGAAGTATTATTTAGTGTCTCGTTCTAGCACTGAGGTCGAATATCGTGCTCTTGCACATACTACGTATGGGCTACTTTGGCTTGAGTCACTTATGCAAGAATTTCACGTGCCATTTCATTCTCCTACTTTGGTGTATGATAATCTTAGTGCAGTTCTACTCTTACATAATCTAATTCTTCCTGCTTTAACCAAACACATTGAGTTGGACATTCATTTTATCCGTGAATGTGTTATTTTTAAACTTTTGAAGATCCAACATATTCCAAACTCTCTCCAACTTGTAGGTCCTCTTACTAAGCCTTTAGGAACTGCTGTCTTTCGAGAGCTTCGTACCAAGCTCAAAGTTGTTGCTCTCACCCCTCCATGAGCTTGTGGGGGGAGTATTAGGCATCAAGTTACATAGGCATTGATGTATGACAATGTGTGTATCATTATGCACACACATGCCTAACCGTAACTAACTCTTGCATCATCTATCCTTTATTCTTTGCAATATATATAGGTGGCTATCATTTTGTAAACATTAAGAGAGATTGAATGAATAATGTGAGAAATACATTCCATCCATCAATGTAAACAAGAAAACCAGATGTAGTCTTCAATTTATTTAGCAATTGCTCATGTGTGTGCATGGAGGCACGTTTTGGATTTTACCCACCGGTCGGGTTATTATCAGGCTCTTTATCATGAAGCTCTTTTATTGTGAAACACACATTGCAGGTTATTAAAAGGTTTAATGTTATTCTTAGTAGTTTGATTCCACTAAATTCATAAGAAAATGAGAATCACTCTATCATAATGTCCATGTCTACTCATTACTGTAACTACATGGCATCTTAAAACATCTGAAACAATATCTAATTCAAACAATAATACTACTGTCTTAGTCATTATAAATCATTTAATGACATAAGAAAGTAGTTCCCTCCATATACAAATTCACTCTAAGATAAAAAGCATAGGTAGAATCAACTTCAAGTGAAAAATAAACATAAAAGATTGGACAAACATGCCAAACCAATATTGATCTCATAAATCAAATTACCATATTTTCTCAGAATTATCAAATTCAACTGTCAAATAGCATGAATGAATAAGAGATAATAAATATGAAAAAACAATAACAACCAAAATCTACCAAACAAAACAAAATAAAACCATAAGACACAAAGCTATAACAGTGTGCGCGCCGCAATGCTTATAAACCACTCAATGCTTGGATACGTTCAATATATCCATTCCTATAGTGCTCAAGTGAATTACATAGCTGTCTAATTGCCTCCTTCTTCTCCTCAGCCATATCCAAGATCACACCATTCTGTTTACTCACCTCTTTTTCAAGTTCCTCCACTTTCAATTTCAACTTTTTTTCTTCATTCACCTTTCGTGATGTGTTTATCTCGTTCATATATTTCTTCATATGTGATATTTCATCGTCGCAGAAACATAACTCAGCCTTAAGCTTATCAATCTTGACATTGGCTTCATCTAATTCAATCATTGTTTTTTCTGATTTCTTATTTGCAGCTTCTACATCTTTCATTCTATCATCAAGCTTTTTCCTCATATGCTTGATTTCATATTGGAAATGTTTCAAATGTTCAGCTTCATTTTGCATAACTTTTTGTTCTAATTCCTTGTTTCTAGACTCACAGTCCTCTAGTTTAGAGGTCAATTGTTTCTTCTGTTCAGACAAACTTGCAATATCACAATCCATCTTTTTTTCCTGGCAAAAGAACCTATACTGCAAATCATACAGTGCCGAATTCAATTTTCTCAAATCCTCCTCGTGCTTAATGTTATTATCCTCATTTTTCTCAACCAAGGCTTCTAATACAGCCATATTTTTCTTTTCCTCTTTAATCTGACATTGCAACTGATGAGTCATAGATGACTCACTACAAAGTTCCATTCGTAAAGTTGCAATTTCTTCGGTTGAAATCTTGAGTTTCTTATGAGCCGCTTCAAGTTGTTCTGTCAAATTTATAATCTTGTGGACAAAGTCTGGAATATGAGTTTCCAATTTAGCAGTTTGTTTTTGCAACTCTTCCTTTTTCAGATTCAATTCACTCCGCACATTATCAAGCTGATTCTCACTTTCTTTAACCTGATTCTTCAACTTGAAAATCTCTTCTTCTGAAAGCTTCTGTTGTTCATTCAACTGCTCCACTTTCAACTTTAATTCTTTGCGCACACTATTAAGCTCACACTTTTTCAATTTCAATTCTCCGCGCGCATCATCAAGTTTATTCTCTTTCAGCTCCAATATTTCACACACATCATCAACTTGATCCGCCAACTTGATAATCTCTTGTTCCGAAAGTTGAAGCTTTAAATTCGAAACTCTTAGCTCTTCCTCCTTTTCATTGAACTTTTTGAGCAACTCGTCGTAACTTCTATTGTCCATCTCCCACGAAAAACCATCATCCAAGTTTTCCACCCCAACAAAATGGTTTTGCTCTTCCATATCAAGAAAGTTTCCTTCAAGATTAATATCCTGAAGGGATTCCTCGGCCATTATATGACAGCTGATTATAGATGAGATATCAGCTTCGGGTTCAGAATCCCATGATGACAAAGGTGATTCACAGCCCTCTTTCATAGAAACCATAGAGCTTTCGGGTTCAGAATCCCATGATGACAAAGGTGATTCACAGCCCTCTTTCATAGAAACCATAGAGCTTTCGGGTTCAGAATCCCATGATGACAAAGGTGATTCACAGCCCTCTTTCATAGAAACCATAGAGCTGACTTCAACATCAGAGCTAGAAGGCAATTCAATATTGAGAGTCTTCTGATTTGAGATCATCGCTACACTCTCTCCATCACAGTTGCTAGAATCTTCCATCTGTGATTCTAAACATAAACTCAACAATTATAAGAACTATGCACTATTGGAAAAAAAACCATAAAAAGTGCAAACTTCTTAACATCTTGTTCAAACTATAATAAACATGTTTTTCATGACTAAATAGATAGATACAATAACAGCAAAATAATAAACATGTTATAAAAAATATTTGCAAGAACAATTTATGGTGCATATATATCATATGTCTTCTATATAAAAGAATAAAAAGATGGAAAACCTTCTATTCCAATCATCAACAATTCAAAAATCAAGTTATTATTCAAACCATAATAATATATCATCAGTTCATCACATAAATTCAATAGCATAAACAATAGTCTAGATTACAGTTTGAAAACCAGTTATAAAATAATATTACCGGGTGATTATTATATATACAAGATTACTAATGCAAAACAAAGTACTCATCATCGTAAAATAAATATTGAAAATTTCATACTAATTAAAACAAACGATAGAAATTAATATACTTTAGTGATAAAGTAGAGAAGGAGACATACCCAGCAATCAAAGCAATCTTTCTGTTAAGAGATTTGAGAAGATCTCAGATAACTTAGAGATGGAAATAGGCAGTAGGTTTAGACTTTAGAGAAGAACTCACTTTAGTAATATTCTAGGGTTTAGGGTTTACGAACTTATATGCAGATATTACCGGGTCTTTTTCTGTTACAAACTTATTCCATACAATGCGCATGTTATAGTATATTCTTTTTTTATTATTAAAATATACACTTTTCTCTCTATTATATGAAATATATTAAATTTATTTTCCCTTAAAAGATGATCATACTATCTAGGTTAAATCTAAGGTGTGGGCTCAATTAAATCTCTCATGGTGAAACCTCTAAAAATAACATAAGACTAAATGAATGTTTTAGATTGAATATAATAAAAAAGGTTAAATATATTTTTGATCTTTATAAATATCTTAAATTTCATTTTTAATTCCTATTAAAAAAATGATAAATTTTGGTCCCTAAAAAATTTTTGTTCATCCAGTTTAGTTCCTGCTATTTTCTAAAATTTTAAAAACTGTTTAATTACCCTTAAACTTTTAAATTTTTAAATAATATTTTTCATACGTATTTAGAATACTATAAAATGTTTCTTTATCAAATTTTAGAATTTTTTAGAATAAGAAGAATTAAATATGATTTTTTTTAAAATTTCAAAAGATATTGATAAAAATAATGAAAATCTCGACTTAGAAATCAAATTTTGAATTTCTTTTTTTTCAAAGAACTTTTTATAACGTTATAAACATGTCTACAAAATAATCATCACATTGGTTTAACAACAGAGATTAAAACTACGTGCATAATAGTTTTTTAGGGACTAAAACTTGCCATTATTTTAATAAGGACTAAAAATGAAATTTGAGATATTTATAGGGACCAAAAACATATTTAACCCTAATAAAAATGATAACATGTAAAATCAATGGTAGGTAATTGTTTTTTCAATCTACTTAAATTTAGTTTGGTTTCTCTTCTACTTTTTAAGCTCTTCTTCTTCTTTAACTTTCCAGTTTCACCACTTCATCACTGCACTTTCCTCTTCTTCATCACAAATAAAAAATTTCTCCTTGTTGTAAAAGCTATTCACCACTCCAACATAACCTATTTAACACTGCGAGAACTGTTAGAATTAATTTAGATTTTATAATTAATTAGATATTAATTTATATTTAAGAATATCTTTTAGATTGTTTATATCTTTGTTAGAAGATATATATCTTAGATCTTCTTATATCTTTGTAGAAGATATATTTTAGATTTAATTTTGTGTATAAATAGCCTAGTGGAGTAGGTTATTGTAATTCATTGTAAATCCTTATTTGAAGTTGTTAGTAAATATATTTCTTTTCCTTTTATATTCTTTGTGCACCAACAATTGATATCAGAGCTCCTGGTTAGAAACTATAGAATTTGGGAAACATTGTTTTCATTGAGTTTCTGCGTAAATTGCACAAGATAGAAGATGAACGGAAACGACGGTGATATTCATTCCAAGCTTCCAGTATTTGATGGCAAAACTGGAATCGTTGGAAGATTCAGATGCATATATTATTTGGTTCTCAAGATGTGTTAGATCTTGTCACTGATGGCTATAATCCGTTAGAAGCAGACGCAACAGAGACACAAAAGGTAGCATAGAAGGCGTTGAGGAAGAAATACCATAAAGACGTTGTTCTACATCCATCAATGTGTGGATGCAAATGTTTTGAGAAGATTGTTGATTCTGAAACAGCAAAGGCTGCATGGGACACACTGATCAGATGTTACAGTGGTGACGCATCAACGAAGAAGGTGAAGCTTAAGTCTCTCATAAAGTAATATGAGAATCTCAACATGAAGGACAACAAGAAGGTTTCTGAATATATCTCTAGAGTGATTCTGATCACTAATGAGATGAAAACTTGAGGAGAAACTCTGTCTGAACAAGTAATTATTGAGAAGATCTTGAGATCTTTAACTTCTCAGTTTGATTATATTGTGGTAGCAATTGAACATTCCAAAGATCTGAGCACCATGAGAGTTGAAGAGTTGCAAAGTAGTCTAGAAGTGCGTGAGTTGCGTATGACTGCAAGAACTTCTGAGAGGGAAGTAGAGCAGCAGGCTCTGAAAGTAACTTTTGGTAAGAAGCATCAGAAGCAGACTTGGTCAGAAGCCAGGAAGAAAAATAATGGTGGTCAAAGGTCAGAAGCTTCAAACTTTGATAGGAAGAAGAATGTCCATAAGATAAAGGAGAAGTCTGACAAGAAGAATGTTCAGTGTTATTGTTGCAAGAACTTTGGTCACTATGCCAGAGATTGATGGTCCAATAAAGAAATGAAGTCAAAAGAAGAAAATATAGCAAGAGGAGAGTCTGATGATGAACCTGTGCTATTATTGGCTTCTGAACCTGATGATCTGAACTCATCAGAATGGTGGTATATGGACACAGGGTGTTCAAATCATCTTACTGGAAACAAGAAGTGGTTGGTTGATTTTAACTATGGGAAGAGTACAAAGATCAGATGTGTTGATGATAAATACCTCAATGCAGAAGGTATGAGAAATGTCAGAATCATTCTAAACAATGGGAAAGCAGCAGTGATCCAGAATGTATGGTATGTACCTGGCATGAAAAGCAATCTGATGAGTGTGGGACAACTGGTTGAGAAAGGTTTTTCAGTTACCATGAAGGACAATCTTCTGAAACTGTATGACTGTAATCAGAAGCTGATTATGGAGTCAGAACAGGGAAGGAACAGAGCATTCAAGGTAAATATTAGAACTGCGGACTCTGAATGTCTTAGTGCAATAAGTGTTGTCAAGGAGAGTGAGTTGTGGCACAAAAGATTTGGTCATCTGAATTTCAAAAGTTTAAGGCATCTGAAACCAAAGAATCTGGTACATGGAATTCCTACAATCAAGAAGCCTGAAAAGTCATGCAAGATGTGCATGGAAGGGAAGCAACCAAGATTACCATTTGCATCAGAAGTAGCTCCAAGAGCAAAACATGCCTTGGGAGTAGTACATTCTGATATGTGTGGTCTATTTCCAGTAGCATCGACTGGGGGAAATAAATATTTTATGTCATTTGTTGATGAGTTCACCAGAATGACATGGGTATCTCTCATAAAGTTCAAACACAAGGTGTTTGCTGAATTCAAGAAGTTCAGACTGAAGGCTGAGAATCAGAGTGGCCAGACTCTGAAGATTCTTAGAACTGATGGTGGTGGTGAGTATACCTCCACAGAATTCAGAAGTTTCTGTGAGGAGAATGGAACTGAGCATTGATGTTACCGCTCCATATACTCCTCAACACAATGGTCTTGCTGAAAGAAGAAATCGTACTTTGTTTGATATGGTAAGAAGCATGCTGAAAGAGAAGAAGCTTCCTCATACTCTATAGGAAGAAGTTGTTACAACCGCATGTTATGTGCTCAACAGATGTCCAACAAAGAAATTGAAGGAAATAGCTCATATTCAGAAGTGGATTGGAGATAAGCAAAGTGTTAGTCATCGGAAGGTGTTTGGTTCTGTGTCTTATAAAGATGTTCCAGAAGACAGAAGTTGGATGATAGAAGTAAAGTGATGTTACTGGTGGGGTACCACAGTATAGGTTCGTACAAACTTTATTGTCCAGAAACTAACAAAGTTGAGTTCAACAAAGATGTCATTGTAGAGGAATCAAAATTTTGGAATTGGGAAAGGTCTCGTCCTGACTCTGATGAGAGAACTTCTGAAGAAAAGTCAGAAACATATGTTTCTGAAGCTGGTAAAGACTCTGACTCTGAAAAAGATACAGAAGGAGAAGATGATTCTGACTCTAACTCCGATGGTGATCCAGACTCTAAAGACAGCCAAGGTTATGGAGAAAGTCCAATTTTTGAAGCAAGTGCTTCTGAAGGGGAAAGTTCTGGTGCTCAAAGTTCTGAAGGTCCAGTTCAGAGGCAACAAAGAGTTAGAAGCATCCCAAGAAGATTTGCAGAGTTTGACATGTTGTGAGACACTTAAGTAGACTCTGAAGGAGAAGTTATTCAGTGTGCAATGTTAGTATACTCTGAACCCGTGAGTACGGAAGAGGATCTTAAGTAGCAAGTGGTTACAGGCCATGAAAGAAGAACTTGATGCTATAGAGAGAAATAAGACTTGGAAGCTGACAGAACTTCCAAAAGGAAAAAAAGCCATCAGCGTCAGATGGGTTTTCAAGCATGATCTAAAGCCATATGGATCAATTGGCAAACACAAAGCAAAATTAGTAGCAAGAGGCTTTCTACAGAAGCCTGAGCTGGATTACTTTGAAGTGTTTTTCACCTGTAGCGAGACATGAAACAATCAGACTAGTGATTGCAATAGCTGCTAACAGGAATTGGCCTCTGATGCATTTAGATGTAAAATATGCATTTCTGAATGGTCCATTATAAGAAGAGGTGTATGTTTCACAACCTCCTGGATTTTAGAAAAAGAATTGGGAAGGGATGGTGT